TTTTCTTTTTCTCTTTCAGCTATCTCTCTCTTCAAAGCCCATGACAGATAAATAATAGCCAGCAATGAATGTTTATTAAAAGATAATTCATCAAGAATAGATCTCCCTGTAATTCATATTTTATGGTGTATTCTATTACATGCACTTTAAATTCTCCCAATGGATATTTATCGACGCATTCACGTTATTATCGCAAACGCGGGCGCGATTTTCGCGAACATGCGTAACCATTTTTTTATTTATATATAATATATATATTAAATGTCATACATTGCGCAACGTAACTTAGCAGATTCACAAGCTGAGATTGGTATCATTCATCAGAATCGCTTACTACTGTTCCGTAATACTCTACTCGTCTACTGTACAACATTTTACACTCATCGTATTTCGTTCGTAAGGTAATGTCGATTATTAATGCTACGAGATTATTGGAGAGTCATGAGATTGCACAGCAACGCCCGGATCGATCGATCATGTTGGCGTCGAGCCCAGTCATTTTTTTTTTTTCATTCTCCACTTTGCTTTTCACCAATTTTTATATGTACAGGACGATGCGGCATCTCGCCGATTCTTTTCGACACTCAAAACTTGTCTCCCGAAAACATCGAAATGACGCGACGATCGCTCAAAAAATTGCTTGCAAACAGAGCCATGTATATATAAAACATTGGATATATATTTTTAGATATAACTTAATTTATGTCAAAGGCTTTTATTTATAAAACAATCGATTAATTCTCGAATTCTTAATTGATATATTAACAAACAATAAATGATAATGATAAGAAACGAGAAACAGAAAATGACGTAACAGAAAATAAATATGTCAATATATTATTTTACAGATTAAATTAGGTAATTACGAAATAGATAAACAATACTAATTTATCACAAAAGATTATCGAAATTGAAACTTCTCCAAATTAGTTTCGTTAAATTTTATTTCATTATTGAGATATACCGTAGATTATATTTATTAACATGTCTAATTTTGTTACGCTAGTCATGACTCTATTTGCAACTCTTCCCTGCAAACTCGTCCATTCTTGCAGGTGCAAGATGATGTTTAATTATACAATGTTATATATATAGATATTACAATTATATATATTACATTTCGGAAAACACTGAAATATTTGGTAATATTCTATAATGCAATTCGAAATGACATAATGTAATTGTAACAAATATATACATATATATATATATATATATATATA